TTTTTTAATAGCAAAGACGAGACATTTTACGAAGGGGGAATTTTTACTCTGCCAGAACGATGGAAAAAAGTCATTGACAAGAACGGCCAATATCTAATTGAATAAAGTTATATTTTTAAACAAAAATTCCGAATTTGCCTTCTTATTTGAAATCGGCAATGACTTAGTTGGCAACCTAATAGTAGCCATTAATAGCACTGCTTTCAGATAAAATTCCTCTGTTATCATGTCTGAATTCTTTGCCCACCTGTGGCATAGGGGTTAACTCGTATATTTGTAAATGGAGGAAGCCAAGAGTCTATTTTTCATTGGCTAATACATGGTTGATGGAATAACCAGGTCCGTGGGCTATAGTTGAGAGATGAGGGTTTCCTACTAGGTAGATTCTAGAATGATAAAACAGAGTGATATTAGGAAATATTTCTCTTTTTATGAATCATTGAATTATCAAATCGCTTGTTACTTTAGTTCCGCTCTCCATATATAAGTTGTGTTTCAGGAATCGATTTCAGTACGCAGACATGCATAGACGACCCAAACTCAGTGTATATTTTTGGTAATTTTAAAGCGTCCTCACAACTGAAAATAGGTTGGTACTTTTCACTCGATTGCACGAAGGCCTAGTACTGAATACAATAATGCAATCATAAATGCCATTCTAATGTGTTGCTTTCAAGCTTCGTTGTCTTCAAGTAGACACTGAATGTCTTGTTGACCATAACATCCGGGGAATAGTGTTCCTACCGATATTTCAAATTACTGCGATCCTTTTTGTGGACATTTGCACGAATCCCCTTAATTTGGAGATATACCATAGTGGAATACATGGGTTCAAGTGCTCTTCCGACCACTTCAGCATGTCACCAAGTTGTTCTTTGGCCCACTCAGTTCAGTTCTTGGATGTTTGTAAATTAAGCCACTTCAGTGCTTTTCCTACCCTCTAAAATTGATTTAACTAGTATGATCAGAGTTTCTGAATACGAAACCGACTTAGCTAATTAAAAATAGTAGAAAATAGAATAAATGCTAATGATTATTTTGATTGGCCAATAAATAGGAATAGCTACCGAGTCGACCATTTACGAATTAGTAGACGTACGAATATCATGGTGGATTTATTTGATTTTTATATATATTACCATGCTCGATTTGATGCAAATACATACATAAATTCTTATGCTATTGTTTGGCGGATGTATCACTAAGTTCACTTGAAATCAATTTTTAAATTTTACTTTAGGAAATTAAATGAACTTTAAGTAGTTGCTTCCGTCTTTCGGTGAAATGTTTTCTTCCATCGGTTTGGCCACTATTGATTGGCACATTTACTTTTCTGCTTTAAATTCCCTAGGCAACTGGCAAAAATATACTCAAAGCTCCGTATTTGTTTTGAAGGAAAAAAAATTTCTATGAGAAAATATGTAGCGGATTGCTACACTAGTAAAGTTTTGATTGAATCAGAAATCTTGTGGCAAATCCTCCTATATCTAGCTAGACTCCCAGAATTATCTAAGCTACATCCTAGTTATAGAGGAAATAGACGTATTGCGCGGAACATGTTTATTTAGGAAATATTGTTTGTGTATCAAATGGCAGGCATCTTGATGGTTATCATTAGCCCTTTAGTTGCCTTCAGGCTTCACAGAGGGGAGGAGGAACATCAAATTGAAAAAAGTCGAGAGGGGGAAGAGAGGAGTGTTTCAAAGAAGTAGGAGACAAACACAAAGGTAGAACAAAGGTGGGGTGAGTATTGCGGAAATAGTCGAATATGGCATAGAGTGGGGGTGATGTAGTTTGAAGTGAGAAGTCAACTGCCAGCTAATAGACTTTTTTGCCGTATGAGTATACGTTGCCCAGGGTGCACCACGTGGAGGTAAGTCTATCGCACACCCCTTTTAGGAAATATAATGTGGTAAAAGTGTACATGCCGTAAGGTTAGTCATAATCAAAATGCGGATCCACTTTACATATAATTATGTAATTGCTATCGCATCCTCACTAGTACATTGCCCCTAAATTACTTATATTCTAAAAGCCGGGGGTGTGCGATGAACTTGCCCCCACGTGGAGCACTCTGGGCAACGTATGCTCATACTGCAAAAAGTCGATTTTTCGGCAGTTGAATTCTGACTTCAAACTACCATGACCACACTGTATGCCATATTTAACCACTTCCGCAATACTCATCTTACCTTTTCTTTGCCTTTTTATCCGTCTGTGAATCATTATCTGTCAACCCCCCTCTCAACTTTTTGTCATTTTGATGTTCCTTCTCTCTGTGAAGCCCAAAGTCAGCTAAAGGGCTAATTATAACTATCGAAACCCCTGCCATTCGAAATAAGCATATTTTAGAAAGCCGAGAAAATGTTTTTCGCTCAAAGGGAAAATTATTAAAAAGTGCCTTAAATTTTATATATTACTGAAATATATACAGTAACCTATTTATAAGCAAAAATGTAGCAAAGCGTACAATAGGCGAAAAATATTAGACTTTATTGAGGAATTTAAATGCCAAAGAACATCAAAACAGCGTTGAAAAAACATGAGATATGATTTAAGGTGCGCCTTGAAATTTAGTAAACTTACCAAATGACACAAAATGTGAAGAGGAAAATTCTCCATAAAACAGACGAGTTTTGAAAATTTAAATCACCTTATCAAGCTAAATCTTAATTTCCACCTCAAAACCAGCATAAATTTGAATAAGTATTGGAAGCAAACTAAATTATTTATCATTGTCTCATGTAAAATTTCAAATAATGAAACGTTGGTCTTTGTCCAAATGCTTTTGCAGATTTCATTTTCTTTCCTCATAGTTATAACGTGATTAAAAAGTAGTAGAGTAGAAATATTAGTCGTTCCCTTATATCACCCAATCATTAATCTCTGAATGTCTCAAGTTGAACTCACTTAAATGCCATTGCCAAATCATGAAAGGGAAACCGAATGAAAGCCCCTTCTAATGGCTTCTGACATTTAATAAAACAAAAGAATCGAGACAATTTAAATTCATTACATACGCTTTCATCTCCCACTTGACTGATTTACAATTCCGTGTGTTTAGTTACGATCCCATGAACCCCCCCCCCCCCCCCCCCCCAATTAAAACTCGTTTGAATTGATCTGGATTGCATTGGTATGAGAGCATAAATTAAGGAGCATTTGAGTGTGAATTTCTCTCAAAAAATTGTAAATGTAAATATGAATGCTGTATTATTTTATTCTCAATGACGAATATTTCCTTTTTCAATGTATTATTAAATTAAGAGGACAAAAAACAGGACTACCGCAGGCTGTTATACTACTTAAATGCAAATACTTATAATACAACGAAATTCGCAAAAATGAATGCATAGAACTTAAATGTAAAAAAGCTGACATGATGATTTTTGACCTCAGATTCTCCAACTACGAATCCTCAGATTCCTTGATCACCACTTTCTGTGATCTTAACACCCCCTCTTTCTGAATTTCTAAATCTAATATATTTGAATGCTTCCACATGGTGAAAAGCTGTGACGATTTTATTTCCCCATAGGGGATTAATAGGAGAAATAGGATGACACACTAGCTCAAATCTTCTTGAAATCAGGTCTCGAGTCCTGAAATTCAAACTTTTGTACACCGGGTGAAATATTAAATAGGTAGTGGATCCATAATCCAAATATCGAGGGTCGTTTTGGAACTTTAGCTCATCAACGCTTGTCAGCTATAAGTTTAAGTTTGATAATCAAGTATTTAAGTTAGTTAGCCTCACTGTTTGCATTTTTTTCTCCAATGGCCAATTTAAGTTCATTTTTAAAAGAAGTGGATTTGTCAAAGAAGTGTATTGGATATCCTAATGTCCTATTATTAAGCATTGAAGTTTTCACCATTATTGAGAGATACTTTTACATAGCGGCTTTCAGTATTACAATCGACCGCTCTGTCATGTGGAAATTAGGTAAGGTTGGTTAGCTACAAGATAACCTTGACTTCAAGAACAATTGTATGCGGAAAACCGATTGTAGCTTTCACCGAAGTACAGGTATATGTCTGCGTAGAGGGAAGTGACGTGAACTCTTAACCCATTCATTTTTTTAAAATCCATTTTACATTATTATTATTTACACATTCCTAATCACATTTCTAAATAATAAAACATGCAGAATTGGAAGCAAACAAAGCTAATCTAGAACACGAGTCTACTCAGGTTTCAAAATTTGAATCTCCTAAAATTTACCTCATAATGGGAAAAAATGATATCCATTTTTTGATATTTTAGGCAAGCCATTTCTCGTCGTTAACACATTTTGGTACACGAAGGCAAATGAACAAAATTTTCGCAGAAAATACGCGATATTTATAAACCTACTCAATCATATTGGCATACGTAGAGCTTTAACAATTATGCCATTGACTGGGTTTCAAAATCCTTCACGAATTTCGCTCTTTGTGCAGCTCTATTAGATCATCACAGGATCCCATTATCTAACTATTTAACTAATTAAATTTGTGGTTTGAGACAGCGTATGTAAGAAATGGGGCATAGTATGATGAGTTCAAGGTAACATATTTAAAGCAAAATTAAGGTGTTAGCTTCGTTTATTTAAAAGTAGTAAATAAGAAATCCAAATGAAAATTATCACTATTGTTACAATGATTCCCTTTTCACGCAAAATAAGTGCAGACTCAGTTGAAAGGTTCGCTTCACAACAACAACTCATTTGGAGTGCACGTATAAATTACAATTTTAAATGAATTCCAATCTTTTTTAATATAAGTGAGGTTTTTAGAGTAATTTATAGCTATGCAAAAAATAAAACTGCTCTAATGAAGTAATGAGATAACTTATCTCCCTTCAAAAATGAAGTAGACTGAAGTCCTTTTAAAACGATTTATTGATTTTTTCGAGCATAATTGCATTACTAGTATATATATATCTGAGCAAAAAATTAGTCGGGAAAAGAGGTGAGAATAGAGAGACGTAAATATTACATCCGCTAAGAAGTCGAAAGAATTTATCGATGATCAGCGGATTTGAATACCATAAATGACATGCCATCGACTGAGAAGAATACAAAGTGGTCCTTGATGTAGGCAACCTCACTAAAAACGAAAAATGGAATTTTAGAAACTGTATGAAAGGCGATGTCCTATATCTATTCCAAATTAGTCACTCTTCTAAGTCCTACCGATTTGATATGCAAATGAAAATTCTCTCTTCTCTTCGTGACTATTTAATTCTGCTGGGATAGCAAATCGAAAATTTCAGCAAATCGATAATGAATCAGACCAAAAAAGTTAATTTGTGGTTTAAACTAAAACTGTTACTAAGTAGTTGAATTTTTAAATAAATTAGTGCTCTAACATACCTGCCGAATCTTTGGCCGCAAACGCAACTCCATGTACCAGGATACTGGTTCTCAATAGCTTTTCGCACTGAAGAGGCCACTGTCTGCTCTCTATTATTGGCGTTTCCATAGTTGTTAGCATCTTGGAGGGCTTGTCTGGCAGCACGTTGACAGAATTTAATAATTTCATTATTCATATCCTGTTTGTAGATTTCATCTTTAATCATACTACTGTTCATCGTTCAGGCGGTGATGTCGGCACTAGCTTGCAAGGATTCACTTGTGATCTGCGCTCCTCCATTGACGTGTATGCAGTTATAAATGAAACACTAACTGCGTTAGTCGATCGCACTCAACACCTTCACTCTTATTGGCTAACCTCGAGCACAATGTGTGCATGTAAGCAGATGAATGAGATTGCTAGCACAACTAACTAAGGTGGCTTCTTTGCTATCCAAAAAAGGGAAACAGGATTGAAAAACAGTAATGGAAATGATTTATCTAATTCATTTCGATCCTGCCATTATTACTAATAGAATGTTAATTTTTTTCTTAAAATTAATTAAATTAAATTAAAAGTCCAATTAGAGATGAAAAAAACATGATTTTTTTAAGAAATATAATAATGACTGTATAAAATGGAAGAATTGTTCTTATTGGAATTTTTGGGAAAATTATAATTAACAATTTAAATAAGTTTGTGACAATGTTGCATCATGTTCTTGAGAGTCTATTGACGGAAGTTTAATATTGAAAATATTGACTGTTTGCTAATTTTTGAATTTGCTTTCATAAATGCAAATTGTACTATATAATCCGAGTCAGAATTCAATCATACGGGTTTACAAGCTATCGATCGATATCTACCCAAGTGAAGTCCAAGTAATAAAATCAAATGTGATTTCGTTTGATTGACTTTTATCAAGACGAATGTGAGTCGGATTGCGTTTAAAATCAAAGCATTGTGAAATCTCACCTGCTATACTTGATAAAATAGGTAACAAGCAAAAGAAGGATTTAATAAGACCTCAATTGTTCATTAAAGGTAATTGGAAGACACCTGGTTCTAATGGAATTGGCTTTTTTCGCCAAGCATTGTATTAAAAGCTGCAATCTAAAGGTTTAGGTGATCATCACAGTTAGTTGGTGATGAGCATATGAATCTGTGCTCATATTTTCTGAGCACATTAGTCCTAATATGATTTTCTACCTTAATTAGACGGGCTGATAAATAATTTGTCATTCAGACCTCAATACACACCAAATATATAGAAATAGACTTCGTATAAATTTCACTTCAGTATTTGTAAAATCTTCATAAAACAGTATGGGTCGATTCACTTGAAAATTAGTGAATTTAAGGCCAAAGGTGGGAACAAGGCTCAAATCAAAATAATTGCTTTTTATGACGTTCTTTGCCAAAATATCGGATTAATTAACCAAAGCCTATACACGGTGATTCAATAGTTGTTAAGACAACAAAACATAGCTTCAAGTGCGCTTCAAATTTGAGGAACCCTCTTAGTTTAAACGGCGTGCAATAAAAATTATGGAGCTTGTATAGGCACGAATTTCACATATTAAGCATTTTCGGATGCAAATTGTCTTACAGTATTGAATAAACTAGTTCAGACTTGTGAACTACATGCCAAGTGATTACATATATTGGTTCACAAAAATGACTTAAAGCCTCTCCAATGAAGTTCTCAAGTGCCCTGAAGGCAAAGTGGACCAAGATCTGTAGAGGAAATCATTGGTTTTCAAGAAATAATCCTTTTTTTAATTACATCGAATTGAATGATAAAAATTGATATGTTTGAAAATAACTTCCCTCAGTGTGAAGACATAGATTGCTCATTCCAGAAGTACCTGTGTAGGTGGGTTGTAAGAAAAGACATGCAAACGTCATGGCCACAGATTCTATAATGAAGCCGTTTAGCTGCCTCAGAAATTGTTGTCGCTTCATCATCCAAAGCTTTAAAATCAAATTCCGCTTCAAGTAATTGTCTATTTACCTCATTTCTATTTAAAAATTGAAATCATTCAAAATCGTTCCATTGATATATATATATATATATATATATATATATATGAGGTCACGAGTGCTCAGACCTCTCAACTAATCAATAACCATTACGGGGTCAGTTAACTCTGATAGCCTGGATACAAGTCAAGGTATATTCATGTGACAATTAGCCACAACGACACCTGTTACTAATCTACCATAACCATAGACAACGAAATGCTTCCATTTTCGGAAAATTTACAAAAAATAAATCTATTTCGATGTTTAAAACTGTGTCGAGATAAACAAACTAAATGAAATCTGAATTAACCAGAACAGTTGATCACCAACGAAATTGAATGCACCCATTGACAGCAGTTATATTTTAAGGGTTTTTAAAAAATGCATACCTCTTAGGACGTACTCAAAATGACATCTAACTGCATGAATATGTAACAAAAAACAAAATAACTATTTTTCTTTTTACATTTAGAACAGCAAGGTCTTAAAAGTTGCGAAAAATATGAATATACCTCAAATTCCATTCGAATATATTCCGATTGTCTGAGGTAGTATTAACAGGTTATGACAACGAGAACGTAAACACGTAAATCTTCAAATGTATAAATTTGTGTGCAAACTTTCATGCGAAATATGAATATGAGGCCGACTGGATTTCGTCTCAATGAAAGAGGCACGAAGTGCATGTATTTAACGAAACAATAGAGGCACGACTACAAGGTGAATTCACATATTCAAGGAAGAAGTTTGAAGAGAAAGCTCTTGTTGCAATTAATTGTCCTTTCCAAATAAACATTAATGCACTCTATTCGAAAGGTCTAACAGTGACAGCATACTAACTATATGCTAATGAGATTTGCACTGAAGGGTGAGAGGAATCCGTCAATGGTACACTGCTGAAATAAGAATCACTTCATGCAACCGAAATTAATGTTAGAATTGTTTTGAAGACTGAATCCTCCTTCCCTGGACCTTCAAATTTCACAACACTCAGATATGGCAGATAACATCATAAATGAGCCATTTCATCATTGAGTTTGATCACTACTGCGTGATTACATAAATTCCTTGGAAATATATACCTTGACAATGTTATAATCAGTTAATCAGATAACAGGATGAAGATGCTTTGACTTATAAATTATTAAATAATTTTTAGCACTCATGTCGTAGAGAAAACATTTAAACTGAAGTCGTCCATTAAATTTGAAATTGCTTATGACTTAGAGGCAACTGAGGAAAAGGTAAACACATGTATTGGGGTCAATCTTGGTAGCAATTGACTTGGGATGTGGTTAAATATATTGCCAACAAAATTGGTTGAGTTTTCCGACAAAATATGAGTCTTTGAGAATTAGCTACAACATTGAACTTTCACAATTCAGCGTGTGCATTTTAGAATGTCATTGCGTTAAAATTAATTATTAGTGGAAACTGTAAATTTTATACCACAGTAGATATCAGGCCATTGTTTCTATGGTATTTGCTGCAAATTACCATTATCGAAAGAAACTATAGTGAACCAAAAACTATATCCAATTTTACCTAATCCTAAGAGATTTTTTGGGCCAATTCCAGGAATACCTTGCTATGTCAGAATGGGGGTAAAAGAAATAATTGGACTATGTTATTTTTTGCCTCTAGTATTGTCAAGTTGTCTCGTTCTCGTCACCATAATTTTGATGAGAATTCATGCATTTTCTTGATCATTATAATTTCACATAATTATAAAAAAATTCATTCTTGGGAAAAGACAGTTAGCCAGTTGGTAAATTGTCCATACATTTCGGATTTTTCGTTAGAACCTTCTCAATTCACAAGCATTTCAATTTAAAACCATTAGTAATTTGATTTGGGATCATCGTTTCGTCCCAAGATTATAGCAAGTACGGAATCGTGCATTTCAAGATGGCTACAGATACATTTTAAACGTACAATATGGGATTCCAAAGAAAGTAACTAAAATTGGGATAAATCCTCATTGAAAGTGCCTTCGTTTCGTAATCATATTTACCTTGGCTGTTAAATTTCTAAATGTGAATTAAATCTATAATGCGTTATTATCTGAAAATAAGGTGGCTTAAGCAATGCTGGTGTGTAAAAACAGCTCTTTTCATTCGAACCAATTTGGAAAACATGTTTAAATGCACATTTTTGGAAATGATCCTCCACTTGTTCCACTAATGACACACCCAGTGTTGTGTCTTTTGCTTAAAATGCTACACTTATGAAATTTTAATTCTCTCACTCTGCGTAAAATCATGATTTTAAGTAAGAAATACTGTGTGTGAACTTAGCAAACTCTAAGTCCAAAGTACTAACTATTACTTTACTGATAGAGCTAACTCTCAAATAGATTCAAGACTTTAAGAATCTTTACCTGAGGTTAGAAATCAGTTCAAGGATTTAAAGAATTTCCTATAAAATAATATTTCGCTACCAAGATGCTCTTATGTTTATCCATCTGCGCCCTTCAAAATAGAGTATTTATCTTCTTAAAGGCTTAACAAAAAGAGTTTCGAACCACAGAAATGTGAATTGGTCTCCGATAGACGCGACCTTCATAACAATGAGGGCACTCAGAAGTATGGGATTTTGTTAAATTCGTTGAAATTTAATAAAATTATTGATTCTAATGTATTCTAGTACAATATTTTGACAAGATATCGTTTTTCTTATTGATTCGTGATGCTTGTTATCATAACACTTGGCTTGCATAATAAACTTTTGTTGAATGAAAAATAATAATAAAAATTCCATCATATGCTAACACAGAAGCTTGCCAATATAAATACGTCTTATCCATGATTTCACTTTCAGTTATCTTTTGTGCACTCTGTTTTGTTAATGCAATTTATAACCTTATAAACCCAAGGAATAAACAACGAAACCTCCATTTAATTGTATTTGGAAATGACTATGTGATTTCATTAATCTCGAGAATGAAAACAATTAATTGCTTCAAAATTATTAAAAAAAATTAAGAGTTCAGACATTTTGACCTCCTTTTATTCTCATACTTGTTATCTTCTTTATTTTTTCACTCAACGGCTTTGGTGATTCACGCGTTCGCATGCTATTTAATGAATAAAATATGCAACAAATTTTCTGGTAAATTATTCTTATTCAATAGCCAAGACTACATTTGAGTTTTAAAATTAGCACTTGTACCCACAGCTATGCATTCAGTGGATCCTGAACACAGCATTAATGTTGAGAACCATATAAGGAGGCTTAGAAATATACGTATAAGGTATTATTTTTAAAGTAATTAAACAATTAGCAAAATTTGATCCTTCTGTCGAGTATTTGTGCCATGTTTTTGGAATTAGTTGGCCGCCCAAATTTAATATATCCATTTATTTTTCTGCTATTTTCTTGGTAAACTATTTCACATATGTTAACACTTCCAATGAGTAAGACACTTAATGCAGTTAATCAATTAACTCTGGTAGCTAATGCCATAAAATTTATGTCTAAACATGAAATTTAATCTAATATTTGCTTACAATCGAGTAGTCACTCATTAATTTCCAGATAATTCCTGCTTATTGATTATTTTTCTTGATTTTTTTTAATTTCAGACATTGGGGTACACGATAGACTTACCTCCACGTTGTGCACTCAGGCAAAGTATACTCATACTGCACAACGTTTATTATTCGGCAGTTGACTTCTGACTTCAAACTACCACGACTCCACTGTATGTCATAGTCGACAAACTCTACAATACTCACCTTACCTTTTCTCTGAATTTGTGTCTATGTCACTCTATGTCATATCCGCCCACTNCTCTTCTTCCCCCCCCCCCTCTCGAATTTTTCTCACTTTGATGTTCCTCCCCTCTGTGAAGTTCGAAGTCAGCTAAAGGGCTAATGATAACTATCAAATCGCCTTCCATTTGAAATAAGTAAATTTCTGATATTAAACGAAAGTTGAACATCGCTTTTAAAATAAATCTATTGTGAGGGATTGATCAAGTGAAAATGCGTTTTAAAACGAATTACTCCTTCGTTTAAAAAGTGAGCGGTCGTTGAAAAGAATTGCCACATAAACAACTTATTCCTCCAAGATCTACATTTAAGCACTTCCATCCCCCCTCCCTCATGCTAATTCTGGAAACTTTTGGCAGAGTCTATATGTAAGAAATACTTGGTATGACTATATCTCACTTTATCGTGCAATTCTCAATTCACGCAATTCGAGTGAGTCACTCGAGGAGAACTTGAGCAAATTTTGCATTTGCTTCACATGTTCTCTCTCTCTCCGCATGCATGCATGCACACACATACGTACACTGTTCTTCACATACACATATTGGCAAAGGCGAAATGCGCACACAGGCAGGTCAGTTCTGTGGCACTCCCTTAATCGATTTCTGTGCCTCTTCTTACGCTCACTACCTAGTGATGGAGTCTGCTCTCTAGGTCTCAGCTACTTACACTGCAAAGCAACTCTGTGACGCGTATTGCTTCCCTATGTTCTGCTGTTATGAGACAACTTCTGCGTTGATTTAGTTACAAATTACGCAGTTCAGTACTGCGTTACCTTACGCGAATACTGATCATTTCTGCCATATTAAATCGTCAAAATGAAGTCGCCAAAATCGATAGTGCTACACACATTGCTGAAAAGATGAAATATAATAGGCTTTGCAGTTAAACGTAGCAAATGCCTGATTTTATGCACCCATTTGAAGTATTTGAAATTATAGACAGAAGGCTTTGAAGATATTGAGAATAAATTCTGTTGAATGTCATCATATAAACTTTAATTGTGTCAATTACAATAGTTTTGGAAATTCAATTATGCCTAAATTTGTGTATCGCAAATGGCGTTCATCATCTGCTAATGCTTTTGGGATGTGTGCCCCATATCTACAATGTCAGTAAACAACAATTAGTTCACAAAGTAATATGATTCCAATCCTGCAACTGATTTCAGACAGTGCTCCTAGTCACCACCCTTTCTCCGGCCTGTTATTGCGATGGGCAACTTCTACGCTGATTTAGTTAGATATTGCGCAGTTTTTTCTGCATTACCTTACGAGAATATTGACCATTAACAAAGTTAACGTGGTTAGGATTCATTAGGACTGCTTAAATAGACGTAGCGTTAATTAGCGCATTGTAGGGCTAAAATTAAACAGTAATACAGTTATAATTCAGAGCTTTGTACCAGTTAATCGTTCAATAGATAAGTTTTATGCTGGTATATTATGGCTAAATCTATAAATGGCAACGTTCTTAAATAATGGTATGGAGAATGCTGCAGAACTTGTATTAGTGATTTTAAATGATTGACGGTTTAAGGTCAATTCACCTTAGGACTGATGGCAGTTTTGCCAGACTACTACCAGGCCTCAGATGGCTATGAAATCACACGTGGGATGTCAAAGTACAGACTATGTTGTCTTGAGTCATTTTGCCAACGCCTGAAATGCGGTATGAAGTCCAGACAACTGAATTCTGGACGCAATGCCCTTTTGCCTTGGCCTATCACGTCGACGTTTGAGAGCAACTCCAAAATGCAACTTCACTCCATGCAATAAGAATTGAGGCAAATATTTTATTCTGTGATTGGAAGTTATTTTAGCGGTTTTGATGGCAGTGGGGTCGAAATTGGAAATTTTATGTTTTTTACTGGAGGTGATCTTGAAATTCTCGGTATGCTCCAAATAACGCAAATATCCAACCACCCAAGCTGGGGTTAGTCGATTGAAATAAAAATGCAGTAGAAACTTCATAACCTCCTTGTTATACCTTCCCTCGTCCTAGATTAGGTATGCGTTGTTTTTTGGATAGATCCAGTTGTTTTAATTAAAATTTACTGAAGGACACCTTTGATATAACTTTAACTCTCTGAGTTAACGAGATAATAGTGGTAGAAACAGTTGGCAAACTGCAAGACAATCATATTTCAGTTCTTGATTTCAGAGGATTTTTATGCTTATAAACTGGAACAAAAATTAATTTTAACTCTAAGGTTCTTAAAATTTACAAGTGAAAAAAATTAATATTTTGAAAGCGAATCAGGCCCCACACATTGATGTAATATTAAACGGCATGTTAAAAGCAACGTTGAATGAATCGGCAATTTAAATTCATAACAAAAATTTTGTGCAAAAAATTGGCTCACCATTTGAAGAACGTGGTAGCCCTTCTCATAAATCAAGTTCTCACAATTTCGTTCAAGTGCTCTTAATTGACAAATCTTCTTTACAGAAGCAATTACGCTATCATAATTGTTGGAACTATTTGCAATGCTTTGAGGAAAAAGGAATATATTTTCCCATTCTAATAAATTTGTCTGATTATTGGATTAAAATTTAAGTTAAAAAATATAATCTTGAAGCCTGAGTAGGCAAGAGAATGGTATGACTTTTTTAACCCAATGCCAAAGGTAGCTCCAATTAAATCACTCAAGCGCGTTTTTTTGAATCCCAACTGAGTTGAGAAAATTCAATTAGCATCCGATAATAATTTCAGATCGTTTTGATAATTAAATGCTTATTTTCGTATAAAACTGGACAGTATTTGCAGAGGGGGGGGGGACATTTGAAACTGACGAATTAATCGATAAAATACCATGCTGTCGGATGATCTGGTAGGTCAAATTAAATCGTATTTAGTCTCGAATTGTTTCCAGATAAATAAGATCAAAGTTAAAAACGAATTTCAGCAATTATTTAATCCACTTACTTTTTTATATCTTCTCTTTAAAAAATACAATGTGATCGACTTATTTAAGCCCTAACTGTAAATTGAAGTATTAGTTTAATTTACCTGAATGCTTCGTTGCAGAGATGCTTTCTACAGAAAAAAACAAATTCCACAGTTTCTGACAGACAAACTTCCCGTGAGTAAAGTTCCGAGACTTATAATTATTTGTAAATAATTTTCTTACTGAAATTGGAAAAGTAGAATTGATCAAATTTCTGACAGAAAGCCAACCCATTGATCCATGGAACACGAATATCACTCAACAAATTCGGCATCTGACTAAAGTAAGGAAAATGATGAACTTTTTATCATTTAAGTTCCTGAATAAAATCGATTGGCGGTCATATTTAATTCCATAGTGAATTGTCAATTAATGTTCAAAGATCTATTTTAAGTACAACATCGTATGGCAATTTGAACTTACATTTTAAAGTGTCTCACTGACTGAAATTGTTAGCTAAATTAATTGAATTTATACTCACTAATATATTGATAGGATCTCAAAAGATTCCGCAACGGTGTAGTTAAACTGGTTGTTTTTTCAACTTCAGGCTAGTAGAAGGCAACCACGTCTGCACTATCCATCGGAACAATATCTGAGCTATCCAGAACCAAAGGGAGAGCCCTTAAAAGGACCAGGTTCTTCTAAAGGTGGGCGAATTATCTTTAACAAAATTATGAAATTGATAAACAAGTGAATTTCTTACTGACTTATGTGTGAACTTCATTTGCATTTTAAAATATGTATATATATATTCCTTTCCAAAATAATTAAGATAATATGTAGACTGATTTCCCCTTAGTTAATAGCATATTAAATCGGTTATTCACGTCCAAAAAGAAACTGGTTTGGATTGCGAGAGTCTGTCGAAGAAAAGGGTCATGTGATGAACAATAACAGTGAAGGATGTTGTGGGAGTCGAGCAATTAACATTGTAAATCTAGGAACAGATTTCTGAAAATATTGATATTTTATAGTTTTTCAAATTCTTCATTAACGGGATTTATATTAACTATCTTTAAGAATTTTCATTAAATAGCTACGGAAGAGGATTTTTCCGATCTTTGCATTAATTGTAAAGAGCAGTCGAAATTCCTCAAACTTTTCCAGTTGATATATCACTCTGAAATATTGAATTCCTAAAAATCTGATGCATTTAAAAAAGATGCAAAGACATTTTACTTTTTTACATCCAGTAACACTTTATACATCAAAATTTAAATCCATTTTAGAATTTAAAACACTAAATAACATTGATTAAAAATAAAATGTAAAATATATTTCAATGTTTAGTTAAGGTGAAATGCATATAATGACAGAAAGTGATCCTTTTTGAAAATCGTTGTTTTTCAGTTTGGTTAAAATATCTTTAAATTGATAAAAATTAATGCATACAGTTCAATCTTATTAATTTCTTAAGACCTGAACTTTCGAAATTGTAAAATATTTCTGTAAAGATGAATGTGCAAAAAGTGAAGCAGTCACTTGCTGCTATAAATCTATAAGCATTTGGTGGATCAGGCTTATATAAAGTGCAAAAATTAAATTGTATTACTTAATTGTTCCGAAAAATTAATATTCAATAATGAAGACGCTAATGTCCAGATATTTTAATGCTCAGGAACTTGCTGATCAGCTGATTTGATTATAGCTTATTTGAGCCATTACCACCTAGGCTAGCAATAACTTCTCCCCTACACCAATCTTATCTACTTGAGTGTCAGCTTGTTTAAAAGAAGAACTGATCTAGGTGAGAGAGACAGAGATAAATGACTTAAGACGTGAGCTCTTTTAATGTTTTAACGTTGTATGTTGAATAAAGAAGAATATATACAGTTCCTTCAGTAGCAAATAGTAATAACCAAAAGTATGAGCAAGGTTGATCGGAGAGCCGCAGTGATTACTCGAGGATTCTATAAGGCTGCATAATCACTATAATAGAAATTAGACTTTTGAAGACAAAATATGGTTACACTAGGAATCTAGATGGCATTTCAAGTAGTTAATCTCCACGTTAAGAGGTGCGTGCATTGCAACAGCATCGTCCCATAGCTGCATAATGGGTGTAACGAAGGCTTATTAGCTCTCAAGTTGAATACCTATAAATCAACAAATGAAATTGCATGTTTATGCCTTTAGATTGTCTAGAAGAGAATAGAGGTTGCATTCGTCAAGAAGCACAAGATGTGGTTACATCCACAATTATACTGCCGTTTTCACAAGGAATGACAGCCGATTCCTTGGCACCGCTTTACGATGATGCTGGTAGACATAATCCGTATGCTGGATTATCATGCGACGTACAACTCAAACTCTTTCATGAAGACGAGATTCGTGTGGGACAATTTGCTCATGAAATGGTGGAAAGTGTTTCAAGAAAAGCAACCTATCGTGCTAGATGGAATCAAGCCCAAAAATCTCCATGGTTATGCAATACAAAGCCTATTTTTGGTCTAGAAAAAGTTTACCATTCTAGACACAAACACGATTTTTCAGAAAGAATCAACTCATAATTAATGTAAGGAGTTAGCTTTAGTTGTTTCCAAAGATTATAAATAGATTTTTTGTTGAAAGAAAATTTGTCTTAATGTATACATCTATTATGATGGGAAATATTATGATGTGTATCGGGAAAACATAAAGTATGTCAAGCTTTTTAAAAAGCAAGAATAATTTTCCGGTGGTTGGAGTTCGTAGTCACTTTAAAGCCTAAATGATTTATAATAAAATATTCCAGAGGAATAAAGCAAACCACAATCATTTCCTCGTTTACCCCTTACCTGAATCTAAATCGATATTAAAAGGTTAAAAAGTGGTAATTAAATGGAAAATAGACAAAATTCCAGGCAGAACTGACCAAATCTTAAAACGAATGAAGAAGAGCTGCTGTTTATTCACGAAACATAGAGCTTTTGGTTTTTGTAATCTAATAGAAAGAACGAATTGAGTTTTAAATAGCATTGGAATCATCTGAATGGTCCCTTCAATTGTTTGAATTTTGGATTAATTTACCCACCTAATTTATATTACAACTGAATGAAAGGCGTCAACAAATAGAACTCCCGTGGGAACATCTTTTAAACCCGTAAATAGCTACTGAGATTTCGATCAATATTAAGGTTGAATGTGCATTGGGTTGAGGCTGCATCAAGCCTTCTTGAAGTCGTTTTCAAAACTGTTCTTTCACAGGTCTTGCTTATCATTATAAAACCTGGCTGCTTAGGGCAATTCTCAACATGTAGCCATAAGCAATAAGATAGAAAATGTATGAATTCTGGAAAAGATCTCTCTAAGAGAGCTTGCTGCACAGAAGTAAGCTCATGGGAAAGTTTCATAGAAGGTACAGATGAGTTTTGTGAACTTCACAACGCTGCTATAGCTGAGAACAAAGATAACTCATGTACAATCAGACAGACCCGAAGATGTGGCTGTGTTGCTTGTCACGTAGGGAGTAGTTGTGGTCGTTAGCGAAGAGACCTCTCACCCAAGTCAAGTTTTATTTTTATGGCAAGGGGTGCGCGATAGACTTACCTCCACGTGGTGTACCCTGGACAACGTATTTTCTTATGGCAAAAAAGTCTATCACTCGACATTCGTGTTTGACTTCGATTTATTATGATTAGCTTTAAAAAGGCTATAAGAAAAATCGCCCTCGTCAGGGCGAATCACAACGTCTTCAGATCCTCCAGTGGAATGCTGGAGGAATGTCTCCGGACAAAAAGATCCAAGTACAGAAAATCCTATAAACCTATGATGTAGACATTTTCACAATTATGGAAGCTAACATTTCGGATGACAAACTGAAGTACTACCAATTCCCAGGTTACACCCTGTACAATCTACCTAAATACCGGCAAGTTGCAAGTGGAATTCTAACTGGAGTAAAAGAAGGCCTCACCTCATACTACGACCTAATCAAGAGTATGGGCTCGACACAAGACAAATGTGAAATAATCAGATTAAATGTTTGGAAATGTCAAAACCACTTCAAGATATATGCAGTCTATAATCTACCCCAGAATTGTCCAAACTTTGACATTCTGAACATCTCACATAAAACTATAGTATTAGGAGACTTCAACGCCCATTTCACCAGATGGGACTACAAGGATACAAACAAAGGTGGAAAGGAAATTGAA